ATCTCCACAAAAACCCCCTTTCTGATATAATAATAGTCAATGAATAAAAGAGTAACTTGCAAGAAAATTCAACTATAATTGAAGTATTTAATAACCATACAATAAAAAAACATTTATTGCAAACTAGTCCTGAAGGGTCCATCTTTACTCTCTATATAGATACACCCATCTAACAGTTCAATGCAAATGTTATTAATATCTCTAATGTATTTGGGTTTGTATGATTAATTAAAAGATCCCTCAGCAGTGCACACCACGACCCCGCACCATCGGGGCTTGGACCCAGGACCTACCGGCTCAGCGCGCGACCACTTAACCCTTAGACCACCGAGCCGGCATCCAACGGTGTTAATGTCTAACATCAATCAATCTACGAAGTTGCGCCACCATATACCATTGTCTTCAGTGAGCTGATATCTCACAACAGACCTGGTTGTACTCCACTGGTAACGGCTTCCCACTAGATGACTGTTATGTTCTTAGGTTATACAATTGCCAATGAAGATACACTGACTTATACAACCAAACTAAATGACCCATGCATCAGTACGGGTAACTTAGAGTTCTGAATGATCTTTTTTCCGCCTGTTAAGTCCAGAACACCGATCTCAGCCTCCTCTATAGGAATCGTATAATTCAGATATAATGATTGTAATCATCTGAATGGGCATAACTTAAGGACGGTAAATCGTATAATAACAGTCTATAGATCAAATAAAAGCTTATAATAAGAGAAATATGGATATACACAATATAATATAGTTACTTAATAATCTTACAATAAGAATATCTGTATAATATTAGTTCACAACTAGATCCTAGCAGTTACCATTCGTTTATTCTTCGTTCGGATACAACAAATTCCTCATTTTAGTCTTCTTTTTATCTCAACCTTATTAAGTCTGGACTACAGCACAATAGAAACGCATGAAAATAACAGTTACTATGCTTAAATGAGTTTTTAAAAAATTTTTATTTCTTAAAAACATTCGGTTGTTTATCATGTTTCCAGGTACCATTTTCAAAACGAATGGAACATTTAATAGCGCCTATGTTTGGTTTGGGATTTGCTGTTGGTAAGTGAGTAGTAGTATTATAAGTAGTATTAATGGTGTTTTGATCATTTTATTAAATGTGAATAGATAATATCATGTCAATGTAATTTGTTCGCAACCAATGAAACTATATGTTCATATATAACATCAAATGAACAGACATTGGAATTATAAATGGAGTATGGGTTTTCTTAATGCAAACAAAACCTAGGTATAAAATTTTTCCTTACCCTAGGCTATGAGTAACCCATTAAACGCTGGGATGGGAGTTTACGAATCAGAAGTTCGATACTCTTCTGGTAACGATAGATTTCTTGGAAGGAAATGACCTCAGGTTTGTATCTATGTGGGTTCTTCATACCTCCGGTAGTCAAGGCGCTTTTCAGCTCAGCCTTGGTGGCCAGCTGCTTTCAAGTTGCCTTACCTCCAGTCGATTTGCGAGCAGTCTGCTTAATTCTTACCATTCCAAAACAATGAGAGACGATGACTATCTACAGATAACTTAAGAATTCTAAAAGCTAACCTCAGGAAGTGATGCGAATATTACCAACAGTTTATATGGTCAATGAACCAGATAAGCTCAAAAATCCTCCCTACTTAAACTTGTCTTCAAAATAGAACTCTACTCAAGTGATTATCTTCTTTCAGTATAGTGAAAATTCCTGTTTTCAACATGTAATAAATTAGTTTTTCATCATAGCTCTAGAGTAATATGTGTTTATAAAAATTGTAATGTATACTACTTATGTTTGCAGATATAAGTAGTATATAGTATCAGTCGGTAGTGGAATACCTGTCGATAGAAGATTATATAGACTGAAATGAAGAGAAAAGACAAAGCGACTGAAAGCAGTCAAGATAATCATAGGAATGAAGAAATAATAAAACATTCAAGAGACAATTCAAAAAACATGTGCACATGATGTATTTCATGTTGATGTCAGTGGGCATTGAACAATAAGTTAGTTTTATCTACTTGAGTTCCCATTCACTACACAATGAAATAATATTCGCCAGGAATTTGTGTTGCATAATAATTATATGATGTCGCAGTGCATATATAGAATAATATTACTGTAAATTACTATGGAGTTCCTGAGAAGATTGCCAATATTATCCGGAGCTCATATGACGGACTACAGTGCAAGGTCGTGCATGGAGTACAGCTGACAGATGCATTCCAAGTAAGGACTGGTGTCAGACAAGGATGTCTACTCTCCCTCTTCCTCTTTCTTCTGGTGGTCGACTGGATTATGAAGACCTCGACATCTGAGGGAAAACACGGAATACAACGGACAACTCAGAACCAATTAGATGATTTGGACTTCACAGATGACCTAGCCGTCGTATCCAATACACACGAACAAATGTAGATAAAGACAGCTAGTGTAGCAGCAGTCTCTGCATCAGTAGGCCTCAGCATACACAAGGGGAAAACCAAGGTCCTTAAATACAACACAGAGAACATCAACCCAATCACACTTGATAGCGAAACTCTGGAAGATGTGGAATCCTTCACTTACCTGAGAAGTATCATCGATGAACAAGGAGGATCGGATGAAGATGTAAAGGCTAGGTTTGGCAAAGCAAGGATAGCATTCCTACAGTTAAAGAACATGTGGAACTCAAAACAACCATCAGCCAACATCAATGTCAATGTCTTCAATACCAACGTCAACACACTTCGACTGTACAGAGCTGAAACTTGGAGAACTACTACAAACATCATCAAGAAGGCACAAGTATTTATAAATAGCTGTCTACGTAAGATACTCAATATCCGTTGGACGAATACCATTAGCAACACTCTACTGTGGGAGAGAACAAACTAGCTTCCAGCTGAGGAGGAAATTAGGAAAAGACGATGGAAGTGGATAGGACACACATTACGGAAATCACTAAACTGCATCACGTGACAAGCCCTAAATTTTAATCCTGAAAGGAAACGAAAAAGAAGAAGACCAAAGAACACATTACGTCGGATAATAGAAGCAGGTATGAAAAGCATGAATAACAACTGGAAAGAGCTTAAAAGGCTTGCCCAGGACAGGGTTGGATGGCAAGTGCTGGTGGGCGGCCTATGCTCCTCCACGAGGAGTATTATCGTAAACTATACATACATCCATTAGTGTAGAGCCATGATGAAGAACCGATTGCAAAGAAATCCCCTCGTTCTATTTGTTTCTTTTTTAATCCTTTTTTGTTTTCTCGAGGTATGTAAAAAGATGATAAGCTGGAAATTAGACTATCATGATCCTAGTACTATGATGTGAACTACTTATGTCGATAGATATAAGTAGTATGTGACACTAATCGAAAGTGAAAATTCTAGACGGCAGAAGATTGAGAAGATCAAACAGATAGTGATTGATATGGAAATAAAGGAACAACAAAGTCTGAGACAATTGATGAACATCTTACAAATTACGTATTCAACGTATGGTATTCATATTCTAGCAAAGAACACTGTAATTCTGTATACAAATAAATTCGATTGTCCCCACTTTTACTCTTGTTCACTGTAGGGTTGACATTCATGCCACATACTTAACAAATATGTACCTGAAAGGGAAATCTCGGACCAATTCATTGTGCATATGTATCACTCTTCTACACTAAAATATGATTTCATATTTCAATTCCATTGTGCTCTTTCTTTTTATTTTTGGTTCATTTAGGCATGGTTGATTCATCAATGATGCCAATCATGGGTTATTTAGTAGACTTAAGACATGTTGCAGTCTATGGAAGTGTATATGCTATTGCAGATGTGGCATTTTGTCTTTCATTTGTAGTTGGTATGTTAATTGATGGTTGTCATGTTTTTTTATAATAAAAATTAACTAATTTTCATTTTCAGTAGTTGAAATCATAAGTCCATTGAAGGTAGACCATCATGGAAAACCTGGAAGCATTGGACGGCCATTTTGTCCTAATATGGGACTCCTCAGCAATGCGCATCCACGATCTCGCCTCCCTCCATAATGGTCTAGCCCCAACGGACTCATGGTTTTAACTATTGAGATTTCCACAAAACCCCTTCTGATCAATTTCATTTTGTTGAAGTGACCTACTTTGAATCTGGATGGTTTATTCTTGAAGGTATCCTTTTCTAGCTGGATAATATCAGTCTTAAATGAATAACAAACTTCTTCAAATTGTAAACTATAGATTTATTACATTAAAGATCAAGAATGTATTTGTAAAATCCCAGCGAAAGACTTCGAAGTAAATCCAACGTTTCTCCTGGCAATCTGATTCTTGAAAAAGCTTGAACCAGAATGGCAGGCGAAACGTTGGATCTACTTCAAATTCTTTCGCTGAGATTTTACAAATACACTCTTCCTTTTTAATGTCTCGAATTAACTCGGCGCTCAAATACTGTGAAACTATTTGATCAAATTTAGACGAACGTTTTTATTTATAGATTTGTTAGTTTGACCACCCTCTGGATGTGAAGAGACAAGATCGGATTCGTTTGGAAAAATTAAGAAGTACAAGTTACTAGTCGCTGAAACGAACAGACATAATCGAACGCTGAATATCATAAATAGTTAAAATGTGAATGAAGTAGAGATGGATTATTTCATGTATCCAATACCAGTAAATTAATGTGTCAAGCATATTAAATCTACATTCGAAAATTCCCTGTTCTTTTTTGTACATTTTGTTGTACTACTTTTAGAAATTCAGTAGTTCGAATAATTAGAATTATTTTTCGTTGATATACACTTAGAATTGTTTGCCAGTATCTTCCCATTGATGTTTAGGACCGTAGTTGATCAGTCTCTTATTAGCGTATATGCATACTGTGCATATTGTCTCGATATTACCCTAAGTCACAAACATTATATGAAAAGATAGATAGTAACTATTAGTGGAATCCAGAAGTTATGTTTCATCATAATTGAGACCCGTCAGATGGATGTATCTGCATTCCACAGTTGATGTTCATTCTGGAATTAAAACACAGTACCGTTCACTGCACTTATCTATTGAGTTCTGACTGTCACTAGTGTGTACAATGTAGTGAATTTTAAATTTGTTTAGTTATGTAGAGAGACCCATTCAGATATTTAACAAAGAAAGGAGTAGAATGAAGAAATATTTCTTTTCAATCGGTTTTTCATCATGACCCTACAACAATAGAGGAATAATATTGGTCGAATAGTGAGTTTACATAATCGTTTGTGAAATTAGAACATCATCTCACAGAAATAATGGACCGAATAATGTTAGACTACTAATAAAATCCAACAAGTACCAAATGGCCGTTTTAGTATGGGACTCCTCAACAGTGCGTAACTACAACATCCTAGCCAGAAATCCGATCCAGGACCTTTGGTCTCGCGTTCGGACACCTAACTTCTTGATCATTGAGTCGGTATTCAACATTTCCGAATCGTGGATATGCATTGCTGAGGAGTCCCACAATAAGATGAAATGGCCATCCAGTGCTTCCAGGTTTTCTATGGTGGTCTAGCTTCAATTGATTTGTAATCCCAACTACTAAATTACTAAAATCTTTACAACCCCCTCCCCTTTTATGAGTATATTTTGTTAGAAGTTCATATTTCTGTTGTTACATATTTTTTTTATATTTTTGAATAGGACCAATTGTTGGTGCTATACTGGTGAAATTCTTAGGTTTTAATTGGTAAGTTATTTCATTTATTTTGTATTTATTTGTTAAGATTATCGCTTAACAATTTGGTTTTATTAGATAGATGTTGAAATAGAATAATTTTGATAGTTTTGTTCTTTGAGTTAGATGATTCAGTCGTGGAGCTTTCATGGTTCTTCTGGACAACATCATCAGCACAAACTTCAGTTCTTAGGATCCTGGAATCCATGTGCACCATTGATTTGGTATCTCGGTTTTCCAACTGCCCTAAGTGCATACTTCATATCTACGTGGCCGGTTAAAGCACTGGACATTCACTTTTCGTCCTCTCAATTTCGTAAACAGTACCTTTGCTACGAAAAGTCAGTGACTATGACTTCCGTGACAGTAGCTGTATACACTTGGCCATGTGAGAGTAATTCCAAAGGGAGAGTCGACTCTCCTCACCCACGGCCGTACCAGGGCAGTCGATGCCCTTTAACAAGAATCATCTACATATAAAATGATAAGTGATAGGCCATTTCATAAAATTACTCAAATATTTTCCAACAATTCAAAAATCTTACTAGAAACGATAATCTTAAGCTCTGTGAGACCATAATTTATGGGCGAACCAATCAGGTATAAAATAACACATCTAGGATTTTGGCGCCGCTCGCCCTAAGAAATGTACATTTAAGGTTCAAGGACACCATTGAACTTAACATGGTAATTATTGGTCTCTTTTTCCGACTATCCCAACAGGCGCGAAATTCATTGATCCACTTGGTTAACTAGAGTATTGACATTATAACTGATGTCATTTCGTGGTGAAAACCCAAAATGTAATTCCTAACCTTATTTATCCACTGTAAATCATCATTCGAATTCTTCACCCTGGTTTATAACCCTCATTTCGTCTTAGTTACTAGGTGAACACTCTCAAGATTACTTTAGCGTCACTCAAAGGTCGTCCATAAATTATAGTCTTGCCGTTAACAATTACTATTTAAATACCATTTTTAGAATAAACATTTTACTATTTAAGTCAACTGTTAACATTATAGAAGTCATGATATTATACATCAAACCTAGATGATGTTACCTATTCCAGCTTATAACTTTGACAAACCTGAAAATAATTCTGACTTAATAGTTAAAAAATCAAACTTTCGTATACAAGACCCAAGTTTATGGTTTCTGATCCTTAGTAATCAAAAATGAAGTTGTAAACTACTAGAAGAAACTTGTGAAGACCCGTTATTTAATCGTCGTTTAGATCGAACGATGTTGTCGAATGGGCTCTCTACTTTAGTGGCCCGAGATCTGACTCCAATATGATTGTAATGATGATTGTTGTTGAAATATACATGTCGCTGATCCTCATATATAATCATCGACTTTAATCGCGTTAGTCAATAACGGATTTAGATAAGTCAAATAACGAGAATGGACATGTGAATACATATATTTTGTATATGAGGCGAATAGAATAGAGAGAAGAGAAACAACACAGAGTGGAGATGGCTGGTAAGCCAACTCCCCTTTTGACCAAGCGTTAATCAACATGTATAGTTACACAAAAGTAAGTTACAGACATGTGATGAGTAATGGGATAAGAAGTGTACACACACAACTACGCGCCCATATTAAACCAGTCAAGATCGATAAGTGAATAATTAACAAGGCCAAAATGTGACTCAAGTAGAATGAATAAAATGGGCTGGCCGAAAGCTAGAACAAGGTATATGGGCTTAACATAATAACCGACACTGTAAACTCATACTAGGACCAAAAAAAGGTTGTTCAGTGTCTTCAAGTTTTTCATATTGGTCGGACCTAAACAAATTCGTTGTTTTAACAAAAATGTTAAGTGATAAAAAACATTTACATTACAGATCGATAATTTTGATCGAATTGAGTTTCCTATATCTATATGAAGTAAGCGCTTGTAGATCACCAACGTAGATGATCTATGTCAAAATGATTGGAGGCCTACTCGAGTTAGACGTGAATGGTATGACAAACTAGATAACGTCGAAGTCACACCTCGTGGTCAGCACCTTACATGAAGTACCCCATTGACGTATCAAGGCACCATAGATGCTTTGAAGACTGTATAACACATAGGACGCTATTACAGAAATATATTAGTTAAAGTAGATACAAGCGAAAGTAAGACCACTAGCGCATGGGCCAATCCATGGCATACGATTAACTTATGCGCTTTGGTTGTACTTGACCTTGACAAGGATCGATGATTTGTTCAATATTCAATGACCCAACTGCCAGATGATTTGGCTAAGGCTTAGTGACGTTTCTCTGGCCCTACATGCTGATAATTGTTGTATCCCAACGAGAATAATGAACGATAACTGTCAGGATTTATTTATGGTCTAATGCATCAATTTAGAAGACTCTTTCAGTTTCTCATATTGTACGAGCATTCCGTATACCTAAATAAATGGTTGCTCTGGTTATCAGAAAGGATATCAGCTTCGTGACTTCCGAAGGAACTTGGCTCTCATCATGATACGTCATAACTCTTCTAAATAAAGATCTTCTAACTCCTACGGTGAAGGTTAAATGGTTTGAATTGTTTTTTCTGGTTAGTGTTTTTTGGCAAGTTAGTCTTCTACAGGATGGGGTCACTAACCTCATGCCCAACCCTCCTTCTTTATTCGGGATTGGGACTGGCAGTAGCCCAAGAGGGGCTCCAAGAGGAATTTATGGTCTTACATCATGCACATATTTCTTACTGAGTAATTGTTAAGTAACCAAACTATTCACAATCGTATTTCACTTATCATAAGCTTTATTTTGACTTATAGACTATTACTATAAGGTTTACCTTTCTTGAGTTATGCGCAGTCTATTCATTACAATCTCCCTCATTCACATCCACTTTTGGCTAAATCTTGTACAAATGTTATTTAATATTTTATGGTACGATGTAGTCTGCTTGATTGGGATATAAACTCCGCATGTTTGATACGCATGATTCATATGTTGCAGTCTGAGATCGGTGTTCTGGACTCAAAAGGCAGGCAGGGCTATTCAGGAAGTAGGACCGATAAGGACTCTAAACTTCTTGTACGAGGTGTTATGCGTCATTAGTCCAGTCATTAATTCACTATTCTCTAATTAGCGATATCATTAAGTCATATATATTGATAGAGGTATAGAGCCACAAGTTATAACAATAATGTTGTTCAAAACAACAATAGAAACATTTGAGTGAAATCCATTTTAAGTAAGAGGACTCAGTAAACGTCATTTTATCATTAAATATCCTTATTATATTGTTATATTGAGATTGTTCTCCTTTCACCTTATTTTAGGATGATTTGGATTACTGCAATCATTTGTTTTCTCTATGCTCCTTTAACGTTATTTCTCAGGAATCCATCAGGAGAAGTCACGAGTAATTTAGAGGTAATATAAGTCGTTTAATAGTATTCTACTCTATAAGTTACTACTAGTGAATATGTAGAGGTTTATGTAGAATTGTATAAAATATGGATTGAATCTATTGAATTTATGATAAATCTACTTTGTATTATGATGGAATCTACTCACCAGATAAGTTGTATGCAGTTAAACGTCAGATGGGAATTGCTACAATTGACAGTTCAAGACAAGTGAAATGTACAAATACTTGTGAGACTAGAAAGAAGGCTATAGAAGGTAATCTACGACCAGCTTGAGTTACGTAATACACAATAGATCCAAATGGAAGACTGAAGAATATGTGTATACTACCTGGTTGGGATCCATGAGACGATAGCAACCGATGATTAGAGACCTTGAATGACATGGCTCAAAATCGTTTGCAATGGTACAGGTGCATCCACTCTTTGTGTTTTCCCAAATTATAATCTTCTGAATTTTTCATGTCCCTTTCTTTTTTCTCTTTCCAAATTTATTTCACTGAATTACACTCCTTGAATAACATCTTCAAACTCTAATCTTCCCGATTACTGCTTATACTCTTACTACCTCTACCACTATGGGATTTGAATCGACCATTGTATCTGTGTGTTGATGTGGTATGGCAACTTGAACTGATGTATGTGCGTACGTACGAAGTTCTACGTTGCTGCTGACTGACTACATATATTTCACAATAAAATCTGTTTCCTCTGGATTTGGGTTGTTCGTACATTGCGGTATGGCTATGATAACTCAAAACTTCAACAGCATCAGGTTATCTGCAACATAAGAAAATTTTTCTAATTCTTTACGAAGTTTTGACTCTTTTATAACCAGGTTAATCATGTTAAAGGTAATCAGATTGCAGTTAACTCTGCAAAAAATCACATTCAGTAAAAAGAAAAATACAATTAATAATTATCACTATGATTCCTGTTACAACGCTCGATTTTCCGTCTGTACTAATGGGATGTTAATCTTCACTAGATTCCCTCCCAGTGTCTATTATTCTACAGGACTTCAACACAACTCAGATCAAGAACACATGACTAGACTGATTAGAATGTGAGTATATTTCCACACTAAAAACCGACAACAATCATAATAATACCAAGGGTCATTGAATATATAACTCATCTAACACTTGTCAGACCATCTCCTAGTGTGACTAAGCAAACAACCAATCATTATCTTCCTCGTTCAAACCACAACGACGTGTAGTTACATTTCAACATGCATAGAATCCGAATCTATCAGTGTTGAGTGTTACTTGTAAGAATGTTTAGGAAGAGAAGAGAGGGAGAATTCCCAATGACATTTAGAAGAAAGTTCATCTATTCAAAAACTTAAATTAATAACTAATCTGACCTATAAACATGATGGATGGTGACTAGCAGTAGGATCCAGAACGCTTATTTCATCCTAATTAACAGTCGTCAGATGGATGTACCTACATCTCACAGTTGATGTTCACTTCAGAACTCCAACACAGTACTGTACAATTCAAATGTCATCACGTTACCCACTTAGCTACTGAGTTTTGATACACACTAGCTTGTGCAATGAGGTGAAGTTTTACTTTATTTTTGTATGGGTTGCTCGAATTTTCCCATTAATGTTTAGGACTGTAATCGATCAGTCTCCATTAGCATTTGTGCTTTTTTTTCCCGATTATCGCCAGCATGTTTCTAAGCAGAGATGGATGAGGATTAGCATTCGTATCCAGTACGCTTGTTTAGTCCCGGAATAAACATCCACTGTGGTATGCAGGTATATTTGTCTAATAAGTTCCAAAATAGGACGCAACACGTGACCTGAGTTCCATTGCTAGCCATCATTCATCTTTGCTTATAAAGCTTGTGACTCAAGGTGATGTCGAGGCGATCCGCATACGATGCACATATGCCAACAAGAGACTAATCAGTTGCAGTCCTAAACAACAATGAGAAGATTAAAACAAACGATACCAAGTGAATGTAGTTACTTAATAGTTAATAGTCCATAAATAACTCCTATCAGTTACCATTCATTTATTCTTTGTTAGGGTATAACACTTCCCTTTCAATTAAATAATCTATCGTATGATCTATTTCTTTTCTTTTGTTTTGTTTCTTCGACACATTTCCAATACAGATAACAGTTTGTAAATCTATTTCCAGTTTAGATGAATAACCGGGAACTGTCATTCAATTGAAAATGTAGTAAGTGAATGTAAATTCATCTAGAAAGAATAAAAAATACACATTTTGAAGTGTATCGTTTTTACTTCTATTGTTTTATACTGATAGATCCCGACCCAGATGCCTTAATCCTAAACCGGTGCCCGCAAGGACTGAAGGTTGTAGATAAGACTGTGAATTATTGCTGGTCATCACTTTCATACTAGGAAAAAGTGGCTGTTTGTCGTTAGCTGGTTCGCAAAAAAGCCCAAACTGAACAACTACAATACACAGACTAAACTAATCTCTATAAAAGTCCCTTCAACTTAACATTAGATAATTGTAGAAAATCATTACAGAGTGATTGAAACTAGAAATACAAACCAGCAAATTCCATATAAGTTATCACAATGTAGAATGAACATTATTATATGAAAAGGTTCTGAATGCAATCCCAAGTGACCTGTTGAATGGGTCCAGAAATAGGACAAAGACCATTATAGTAGTCTATCAATTTAAATTCTAAATCCTTATCCAGGCGATTTTCAATTTGTAACAGGAACCTGTCAACTCAATACATGGAATTCGTTTAGAGTAAAATAGTAGTAGTAGTAGTAGTAGTAGTAGTAGCAGTAGTAGTAGTAATAGTATCGGGATTGACCCATGAATCCGATTATTTCATTGTTTAACATTGCGTAAATTAAATTACTTTTTACTGAATTTTTATTGCTGATGTCCTACTTCTTTTTATATTTTTCAGATGATGCATTTCTCTTTGTATTAATGTTAATATCTCTGTTGAGCTCCTACCAGTTATCCAAGTGAAATCCTAAAAGGAACAAACAACTTAGTAATTCAAACAGATGGATTTATTATCATCAATCAAGCTGCGAAACATTGTGTCTTTCAGTGTGACCATTTAATTTAATTGTGGATAAATACTATTTCCACTGAATTAAAAAAAAGTCTTGATTAATTTTTTTTGAGAAAATCATGATCCAAATTGAGGATACTCATACTAGGTGAATAATTGAAATGAATCTATCGTGCCGACAGATAGCCTTTGTTCTGTTGGTAGAAGAAACTGGACTAGTAGTGAAATAGTTCTTTATTTAGATCGTGTTGCAGGATATCATCGAGTACCAGGTTGCTTGTTTAAACACACAACGCTTTTCAATGTTCAATACAAGATAAAAGGAAATATAATCCCTGTGCAAAATAAGGAAGTGAATGAATACTCGAGCTCTATTATTTTTACATGTATTTAGATGTTTGAGATCAAGTCTTAACAAATCAACCTAAGCTGTTACAGATTCCGCTTATCCATTCAATCAGAACTCTGTTAACAGTTGATCATGAGTCCATATAGAAACAGGGAACTGTTAAACGATTGACAATTAGGAGCCATGAAAAAAATTTGGGTCGATATGATAACTTACAAATGCCCTTAAGTAAATTTATGAACGAGTTTCAGATCCTCGAACCATTCCATGTTTAAAAACAGTTTTTTAGTGGGGCCCGTGATTTTGTTGTCGTTCAGATCGGACAATGTTTGCTGACGAGCTCTCCACTTTAGTGGCCCGTGGATCTAACTCCATGTAGATCGTAAGAGTGTTTGTTATCACCTATCCTCGTATACAATCACCGACTTAAATCACGTTAGTCAATAAGGGAATTTAGATAAGTCAAATAACGAGAATGGCCTTTGAATATATATATTTTGTATGTAAAGTGAATGTATTAGAACAAAGCAAAATGACGCGCAGTGGAGATGGCTAGTAAGCCAACTTCATTTTTAGCCAGGCGTTACTCAATATTTATAGGCAGACAAAATAAACTACAGACATATGATGAGAGACATGGGATATGAAGTGTACACACATATACGCTCATATAAAAACAGTCGACTGATAAGCGAATAAGCAACAAGGTCAAAATATGACTCAAGTAGAATGAATAGATCGGTTTGTCCAAAAACTAGAATAAGATATATTATGGGCTTAAAATAATGACTGACACTACAAGTTTACCGCGAAAGTTGTTAAACTATAACGGGCTCACTTATTTTGCAAAGACTTCTAAATTTTTGGTCTTATGACAAGTTTGGTACTTCTTAAAATTCTTCTCAAAGAAACTCGCTAGTTAGCTTGAAATAGGTTTCTTTCTGAATCATTAATGACCCCACGAAAAATTGTACTGTTTACCTACTGATTTACCTACGCCTGTCAACCCTCGTGGAACATATAACACAACTATCACTTTCTATCCTTCTCAGTCTAAGGGTGTCCTTTCAAGTGGTATTCCCTTTTTCGACGACTACCTCCGATATTCAGCGCAAAATGCATTTAGATCTACATTTTCTCATTCAACGTTGACGACTCCAGGTTGGTACTTTCCTCGTGATGCAGTTCGGTGATTTTCGTAATGTATGTCCTATATACTTCCAACATATTTTCCTGATTTCCTCCATAGCCGGAAGCTGAGGGATGCTGCTGACGGCATTCGGTCTCCGAGTGCTATTCATGTTTTGACATCTGCTTTCGATACTCAATTCAATGTACTCTTTGACCTATCTACCAACATTCACGACTCCGAGTTGGGGCTTTCCTCAGGGTGCGTTTTGATGGTTTCGGTAAAGTGTTGTACCCACCCTAAGTACCTTTTTTAATTTCTTCTTCAGCTGGGAGCTTGTCTTTCCGCTCTCATAGAGTGACGTTGCTGATGGCATATGGCCAACGGACATTCAGTATCTTTATAGACAATTGTTTATAAATACCAGTACGTTTTTGACGACGATTGAAGCAGGTCACTAAATCTCAGCTCAATATAATAGAACTGTGTTGATGTTTGTATTGAACATTCGGGGTTTGGTGTTGACTGATGGTCGTTTTGAGTTTCATATGTTCTTCAATTATCGGAACCAATTAAATTGTTATCCCTTCCCATTTGAATCAGGTCCTAATAGTTTATTAACGTTGCTGCTCAGATATGTAAAGCCTTCAGCCGCTGCCAGAGATTCTCCATCAAGTAAGATCTGTTTAATGCTCTGCTTTTCCTCTTGTATGTTTCAAGACCTGATGTTGCGAAAGCTGTTGCTTCAGTGATTTAGTCCATCTGAATTTGTCGATGTGTATAGTATAGAAGAGCAAGGTCATCTGTAAATCCAAATCATCTAGTTGAGTACAAGATGATTATTGCATTCCGCGCTTCCTCTCAGATATCAAGGTTTTCATAATCCAGTCAACCAACAAAAGGAACAGAAATGAGAGTTAGCAGCCTTGTCTGATATTGGTCTTCAAATAGTATGTATTTGCAAACTGCCCTTGCATTGTAGTCCGTCGTGAGATTTCGCAGGAAAGCCGTTTATTTAAAATCTTATTATCCCATCATACAGTCATTATCCTACTTAAAGCTGGGTAGATCCTTGATATTGCCCACGAAAAGTGAATTTTTAAGTTGATCTTCATTCTAAAAGTTCCTCGTACAACCGTCTAGACTTGAGGAAGTCTCTCCGCGTTCACCATTACTGATCTTCCCTCAGCGTTAAATGTTGAATATGATTTTTCTCACTTCAGCTTCAAGTGCCCTGTGGTTCAATCAATAACAATACAAAACCACAAAGATGAGCAGTAAGTAAATCCATACAAAAACCCGAATTTGTGAGTAAACTCACCGATAACTTCACTTAACTCCTTATTTTTAAAGTCTTGACCTTTTCATGATCCATAAAATCCCGTAATTTGAACCAGTCCATTATGATGGGCCTATCCTTACGTGTAATTTTAGCAACACTTGCCAAAAAATGCCTGGTAATCCGAGCATGCTGACGAGTTTGTAGTAAATCTTAGGTATAATCTCAGCCAGATCGAGCTTTTTTCGGTAAAGAAAACACGATAAACTAGAAGTTATCTGTTCCAACATAATATTCGACACCCTGGTTGATTTCGTTGCTCAGAAACTAATATGAAACAGTGTTGCATTTCTAAGGCTGAATCGCTAAGAGCTGAGTTTACATCATGGTTATCCCAAAGAGATTACTCACAATTAGCGTTAACACCATGACATTATTGCCGACATCTGGCAATGTGTTTGACTACCAGGACCAGAAGTGTTTGAAGAATGTTATTTCATCATGGCATGAGCCGTTCAACATTCGCCGAAACTGGGACTTATGATGAAAGAGGAAGGGTGATCAATTTATGAAATGCTACCGTGACACATAACACAGATGACTAGGGCCAGAGTACATTGATCAACTATGGCTGCCATGCTTTGTTACAACTTAGATAACCTGGAATTAAATACGTATATTCTGGGGTAGTACCTATCACGCTGATCTTATTTGAACTGCTCTGAAAAACTGGAGGGCACATGACAGATATTACTGCTTTTTTGGTTGGCCTTCCCCGTTAGTATCCAACCCTAATTCAGTTTTCGATCCGATCCGGGATTTTATACACGTGAATCATCAGACATCAACCAACTAGTCTAATGGCAAACTAATTCCAGTGAAGCCTTTAGATTGACAGTTAGATCCCAGAGAAAGTTATAGATGTCCAAATAAAACCCAGTCTTGCTTTTATTAAAAATTGAAATTTCAAATGGTTTCTGTGTAGATCATCTCGCTCCTACCATCAATCAATTAACTAATCAACTAACTGCCCATTACTCAAGAGACATGACCAGTCTCAAACTCGAAATGTAAAGCAAGATATGTAAGTGTGCAAGAAATGTGGGAAGGAAACCATAAGTCTTTCAAGCATATGTTTTAAGAGTCCAAGAGCAATTTATTTATCCCTTACATGAACTCCACGCTAAGAGTATATGTTCATTAAACACGAAACTGAGCATAGACTTGTTTTCTTCCTTGGAACCTCATTTCAAAAATAGAAATGTCAACAAAATGTGCAATTTTCATCCACTCACTTCCATAGAGACAACAAACTTTTCTTTCAGGTAAGGAAAGTATCGGAGTGCAGTCACAGCATGCGTAGTCTCAAAAGTCGACCTTGGAACCTTCCTTAAATTCATCATATAACTAATAATCAGAAAGTGGTTTTGTCGAGACTTTAATAGTTGAATTCACGAGTCAAATAAAGCTAGACCACCATAGAAAACCTGAAAGCACTGGACGGCGGTTTCGTCTCAGTGTGTGACTCCTCAGAAGTGTAAATCCATGATCACACGCCAAAGGGTCTCGAACTAAGGAACCTTGGTCCCGCGTGCCAACTCTGAACCACTAGACCGCTGAACCGATATCCAACGGTCAAAATATTTGACTTGAACCAATCCACGATATTGTCCGGATGTCAATAACACTGTTAGATGCCGGATACATGACCGAACGCTTTCAACTAGAGTGCAACCAGTAGGACTGATAAAGTCGGAACTAATGCTGTAAACTAAGAGAACTATCTACTTCAGGGATTTACTTACCGTCATATTGGCAACTTCACTCGAGTATCAACTTCAACTCATCTCGTTGGCTCGTACACACCAATAGTGGTTGCGTGTGTCGTATTTTCGGTCATAAAACCTGTTGCAAAGTTAAACAAAATCTATAATTAAAAGACTTTAACTTTTCTTTGATCATAGAACAGCTGTTTTGATTTATGAAAAGCTACGCGAAACTATTGTTTAAGTTCACTAAAATATTTAACAATCTACGCTGGACATTTGTAACATTTTAACCAGGGTCATACGATGGTCGCTCTCTGGATTCTATATTTGTCTTTGCATTTATTTTGCATCGTCAACGCATCAAGTCTACCAGATAATTCTCCTTACAAATCTGCAGACCAAATTATATGGGCTGAAATATCTTCAAACACTACGTTCTGCTGCAACTTAACATTCAAAGGTATTTGCTACATTTTAGAATGAGCATTTGATTTACTATGCCATTATCTGTATAGGCAGATTTTAAATTCATCAAGTGAAATATGTAAGCATTGTTAAGAAAGTGATGATCTTGGTTCTTGATATTAGCTTAACTAAATATATTTTTTTGGTATGTTAGGTTGTCTATGATCCTACACATAACCTCTACAAATTGGCTCACTGATGTTGTATGAAAAGTCAACCTCCGATAAACCAGACTCAAAGGTCTAAATAATTACTTCATCCCGGTGCTTTCCAGATGTTGGGTTTAAATCTTATGCAATTATAATCATCTCATCTCTTATGATGTATGCCTTAACTTATACTTTCCAACAAAGCACAACTAGATACAGTTAGCGAAATAGATAGTGAAAAAATGAAAACAATATCACCGATACTGATAAGATCTTAACGTTCGGAGTTCGATTCGAGAAATGGTATTCACTAATGAATAATATTACTTGAAATATTTGTGAGTATGGAAAGTGAATAAATCAAACTGTGTAGTAAAATAAACACTTTCTGGCGAATATTTGTTTCGTGATAGATTTTTATGCATATCTTGCCAAAATTATTTCGTAACCTAAGTAGTGTACTTTTCAATTCTGTACGGTTTCTCACCACAATCTCGCAATTTTGAAGAAGCTGCGATAGAAAACTTTGAGAAAATGGCATAAAACCTCACAATTTCCCTAGATCTTTGGAAGATCGTTGGACTTTGGAGAAAACATCAAAACTTCCCCAAAATAGGGAGATTGAGACCTAACAGCTGCTATTTGCAAGTTTCTAAACATCCAAAAACGAGATTCACTTAACTGATTTATGTTGCTTGTTTATTCATTCAAAAAAATAACCAAGGCTCATAATAATCTACAAATCGGTAGTTGCATACCCTTGATAGATTATCTCAAGATTGATCACAGTTATATTTCAGATAGGTATCAAACTTTTGATACATTTCTCTACGCTTTTCAGAATCAGAAGCACTGCAGTTGAGAGTGAATGACCAACGAATTTCTTCCTCAGTTAAAAGACCTGGCGAAGATATCAAAAGATATATTTCTCCGTCAGCCAAAGCCTGGAACATAAACGAAGCAGTCAAAAATGATATCTGCCTGACAAAAATCAATAATAATCCTGACGAAATAGAAAATCCTCCCCAAATTATTTGTGAAAAATCTGCAGATTATGGTCTGGGAGAAACCTTGGAAAAAAAGTCCATTACTTTAAAGTTTTACGGTAAGTTAATAAAAGAGTGAAATAACATATGAGTGATTTATTTATCAAAGGTTATGGGCATTATTAAAATATGATACATGTACTATATAATGACTTTGTTATAACACGTTTCATAAAACTTATCAGACTTGTCAATCAAAAATGGGAATTTTCGCCTCACAAACTTATTTAACAGTCGCTTCCCGTATGTTTTGTGTTCAATTACTTTGTAAGAACATGTGTGCAAATTGAGGTTCTTAAAGATCAGTCAAACTTTCTGAGTGAAATTTACATCTTACGCATCATGATTCGTTAAATGCACGAAGTTTTCCAATATATCGGCTGTCTAAATAATATCAAAGTGAATTACTCATTATACTTGATGAATTTTTAAATCTTTAAGACTTTATGCACTTTATGCATTGTACCACGACTGATTTCGTTTTGATAAACAAAACCTTTTTGTCCCTTGAATTTAAACAGATAGCTTGAGGATGAGTTGGCTTAACCAATACCATAGTAGGTCTGTATCAAGAATTTCCAGTGATCTTTATATTTTGTTTGAGATCTTTTTGCTTTCAAATACGGCAATACGTAGCCACAATTTGAAGTTGTGTAATTGGTAAAGAAAGACCAGATTGAGAAAATCTCTCATAACTTTACTGAGGCCTTATATAGTGTATGGAATTATTCATTTTACAGAGATGATGAAAGTTAACGGTGGAAACCTCCGAATAACATCCATCAACACTGACCACATAGTCCTCGATAAAATTATGCATCATTTAATGCTATTCAGCTCCTCATGATTCCTTAATTTCTGATATGGTACACAGAACATTAATTGAAAGAACGCTTTGAACCTAATTTGCATGTGTTTTGTCACCAGTAAGCAATACATATTTTTATCCTTTGAAGCAGAGGTTTTCCTTTAAAAACTCGGTCGAACAGTCAAAACTGTCACCGTTTTCCTCTTAACCCCATAGCTAACTCAAGATCTTTTTTTATTTACTGTGAAAAAGACATTCATTTGATGACCAGCTCTTGTACTGTTGAAAAATTAGCTGGCCTTAACCTGTGTATATTTGTCCAATTTTCCACAAATTGATGTGTGCTTGTTTGATTGTTTGCTAAAATACAAGTGTGCAATGTCTTTGTGGTATTCTCATGTTTACACTACAAAGCTATCATCAAAAACCTTAAAACATGATAAATAATACAATGTAATACGACAATCTGGAAATTACGTTTACAGTCACTTCAATCCTTAAAAATATTTACTTAACAGAAATTCCTAAGACGAACCTATAAAAGGTTTAATAATGAGGGAAAATTTAAGGGGATTTTCATTTTACCTGTTGACAAATACGCCCTCCGGTGGTTCTCTAACTATGTTTACAAAGGCAGCAGTTAAGTTTTATTGTTTGGAAGGTTAATTCTCAATTGATTCCGCCTTGCGTAGTCCTAAAATAACTTCTATTTTTCATTTTATTTCAGAACAAGCCAAAATCGTTAAATTTCCAAAAAGTCTTAAATTTAGAGAAGGATCAAATCAAGTAACTGAATGCAGTGCTACTGGATTTCCTGACTTATATGTCGTCTGGCGCTTGAAGGTTAGTTATACACAGTGATTTGAGAAACATTAAAGTATATCCCATTTCTGATTATAATGTTGTTTTTATCATCGATTTTGGCAAAAACATACTGATGACAGTATATTTTTTAGTATAGTTAAATTTCCTCTAGCTAACTTTCAACATATTATAAGCAGCCTGTGTTGATTATCTTGATCGATCTTTATTGACATATGCTTCCCATTTGTGGATTACCTTAATACAGTGATTTATAGTGTTTACAGAAAAGATAAATTTATGGCTAGCAGTGAGGAACCATACTTGGGTTTCGTCGTATTCGAAACTTGTTATATGAATGTCCTTCCATCTCAATGTTGATGTTCACTGAAGGACTCAATCCTAGTACTTCTTGATTCACATATCCGTCGCTTTGTCGACTAAATTACTGATTGCGTCACTGAGGGCGTAGGCGAGATATCCGTCTTTTGAACAAAGAACGAGTTTAATGCTAAGTAGTTTGCTCCATTCTACTTTATGGATGTGAAACATGGACATCAAGGGTAGAGGATATGTGTAGGTTACTGGTACTTAAGCATAGATGTTTTCGAAGCATTACTCGTGTATTTTGGGACCACGGAGTAAATAGTGTCTGTGTTCAGAACAGAGTACTGGGTGAAGATGGCAATTCTATTGATGAGGTAGTAAATCTTGAGACATATGTTACGTATCTCCAACCACCACCTACCTAAATAGGCGATGCTTTCTAATACGGACACATCCATTCCCTGTTGTCACCCAAATTATGAGATCCTAAATTCCTCATAATATTTTTTCTGTTATTATTTCTCCAACTAATATTTTCTTCCTGAATCGTATCTTCGATGCCTAAACTTTGTTATCACCATCGATACTGCTACTACCTCTACTGTTCTAGGATTCGGCCTAACAACTTTATCTCTATGTGTTAATGGTGTATGACAACTCGAACCTATGTAAATAAGTATAGGTGCCACGTTGTGTCTGATTGACTGAATGAATCCAGACACCTACTCAATTGTTTAATGGGTTTAATATTTATATTATTATTGCAAATAATTCGAATTATCCCGTTAGTGATAACTTGGAGTGGAGCTGAATCAATCTTTTGTCGGCATATATGCATCGTGTGAGAATTGCCTCGATATACCTGACGAGTGCCAAACATGACGAAACTGTTAGTCATGAATCCATCTGTTTTTATCAAAATATTCTTTTTCAGATGAGATTACAGATTTTTCTGTATCAATTAACATAATAACTTTGAGTAGGTAATTGAACAAAAGACACATCATGACTTAAACGCATTAAATGGATTTATTTTATTATTTATTTGAACACATAAATAGTGGTACAAGGGGGCATCAGATACATATACGCCACACAAATCTCATTTGATTTGTGTGAAGGTTGTGATACTGCCCGGGTGCCCAAACCGAAGCAGGTGATTTTCTTAGGGGACCACACTCGGCCTCAATTGGATCATATTTTAGGGAGCGCACAGGCTTACATAGCCGTAACTGGTAATAGCTACAGTCAGTTTTCTTAATGAAAATGTTGGTGAGATTTGTTAAATTCATACTGTAAGTTGATAACACCATAGGAAATATTGGTGAAGTTGAAAAATAATACTAATATTAATCCATCTTCACTACACTTGTATGTAAAATTTCCCCTATGGATTAAGATTAATGATACAAAGTTGTACTACTCAGCCCATGTATAAATATCTGATTTTATCAATCTGTTTTATTGATTGAAATCATGAGTCACTTAAAGCTAGACCACCATGGAAAACCTGGAATCATTGGACGGTCGTTTTGTCCTAGTATGGAACTCCTCAGCAGTGCGCATCCACGATCCCGCACCCCGCGAGATTCGAACCCAGGACCTATCAGTCTCGCGCCAGGAGCTTAACCAACTAGAACGAAACGGCCGTTCAGTGATTCCAGGTTTTCCATGGTGGTCTAGCTTTAATTGACTCATGATTTCAATCAGTGAAATTTCTAAAATCTCCACAAAACCCCTTCTGATAAAGTATTTTATGTAAAACCCTGATTTCTATCATGAAAGTAGCCAAAAAAAATGTTTATAAATTCACATCAGACAAAAACAGAATTAGTTAAGTATTTTATCTCCATAAATAACTAATGTAACATCATCATTTTCATGTTTATTGCCTATATTACAGACAAAGGAAGAGAAATGAATGAAACTTATTTTAATGTGTTCATATCAAAAATAAATCTACTCTCAGTTAACTAGAATTCATCATTTGGAAAAAAGTTAGAAAAACGAATGTGGTAGATTGTGGTGAATCTATTTTTATTTCATAGATTCTTGTCAGATGGTTACAACCTAGAATCAATAGTAATAATTTCACAGTGGAATCCAGGACGCGCGTTTTGTCCTATTTGGGACTCTTCAGTTGGATGTACCTACAACTCAGAGTTGATGGTCACTTCGGGACTCGAACTCAGTCCTGATAGCTACTTGCTTGTGCAATGGGGTGAAGTTTAAATTCATTTGGTATTGTTTGTTTGAATCTTTCCATTGGTGATTCCTATTGGTATTATAAACAAAGATGCTTGTAAATTAATGCAATACGCACAGTATGCACATATGTCAATAAGAGACTGATCAATTACAGTCCTAAATACCAGTGGGTGGATTTAAGCAAACAATACCAAGTGAATTTAATAGTAATAATTATCTATAACCAGTGTATTTATACTATCCACCCAACTAAGTTGGAAAACCAGTTTTTGTTTTCGTAATAAGAAAACAGTTTTCTATGAACAGAGTCACGGAGTATCTGTCCTCTAAGAATTATTATGCTTATTTAAAAACATTCAACATTTCACGAAATTGCATCAGTTAAGGATTATCTGGACTCAATAAACCAGTCAATAACGTTTCGAGTGTTCCATTCTCCACTAAATAAATATCAACACTAGAATGTAGACATGTCCAGTTGATAAATCCCTAATAAGTTGAATTACACGTCTTGAATTCCATTCTTGACCTTGAATTATACTAGACATAGAAATATCCTTAACACTCCCTATTGGTATATGATTATGTAATCAATCAATCAATCAATCGAGATGAATGAATCTAAACACTTTGAGAGTTTACTCTCAACCGTTTCATCCAGTTTGAAATTTCTAAAACTCTCCACAAAACCCATTCTGATTATATACATACATTTCCTATTCATATAGGTTTAAAAGTTTCCTATACTATGTTCACATGTTAATTCATCACCTTTTCTCTACCCTACCCTACCCCCCCTTTTACTTACGGGTTCCCATAAATCTATGAATAAAAAAGATAAGTTTATGAGGGGAAAGAAGAATATAGAATAACTCTGTTGTGTTGTTTTTTGCCTGGTCTACCAGTAAATTAAAAAAATGGTTATATGGATTAACAAAGTTTCCTTTCTGTGCGTGTGTATGTATGTATGTATGTATTGCCTTCTATATATATATATTGTGTTTACAATATCAGACATGAGTCTTTGAATATTTATGTGTATGTATGTTATGCATAGATATCATACAACTTGGCAATTTGTTATCATTTTATCTTTCTTCCCTATCTGTATCATTGTTCAACTCAAACAACTGTTAAAAATTAAGTAAGATAATCAATCATTTGATTATTTTCAAAAGGGGTTTTGTAGATATCATAATAATTTTAATAGTTCAGATCATGAGTCAATTGAAGCTAGATTACCATGGTAAACCTGGAAGTACTAGATGGCCACTTTGTCCTACTGTAGGACTCCTCACCAGTGCGCACCCATGATCGTGCCCTAGGTCAAAGGCTTTGCGTATGGCTCCCTGAGAACCTACCTGCTTCAGTCTGGGCACTCGGGTAATATTCCATTCCTCACAGAAATCAATGATAACTACTACTGGCCTCATTGTTATTGTGTGGCGCATATGTATTTGGTGGTGCCTTGTACCAATGTTTATGTGTTTAAATAATAACAGACAGTAGATCAAATGTATAAACTTCCTTATAGTTTGGATCACTCGGAAATAATTAGACGGATCGATCACAAGTCATGCATATATCAATACAGTGATATCAAATACTCAAAAACGTGTTAAACATCATATTTCTTAAGTAAATTGACTTCTATATATACATTTGGTAAGTACTTTTTCACTACCCTTTAATGTGACTGGTAATCACCATCGTTAAAAATATACATTGAGAATGGTTTTTAGTCATGTAAAGATAAAAGTATATTGTTACTGATATTACGAATAGGTTTAACTTGAACATCAACTGAAAACCAGGGAGCACTGGATAGTTACATCATCCTGATATGAGACACTTCTATAACGTATACCCACGACCCTACCATAATGAATCAGGGCTTTTCAAACCACTGACCCATAATCCAATCGCTAATTGTTTAACTTCAATCTATTTACGATATTACGAGACTATCACTTCACTGTCTTCGGTGGATAACTACTTCATAGTCAACATAGTTGAGCTCCACAGCTTCTAAGTAAAAATGCTGAATTGCTTCTTATTGAGTAGTTTTATACTAAGACAGAAAATTTGTCTTGTGTTTCTTAGTTTCCAATAGAAATTCCAAGTTACATTTGTTTGTAATATCAGTAACATACAATAAGTTCCACGATCATGTCTGCTGATAAAAATATCTTGAGTTTAAATTGATATCATGAATGAATCAATGTTAGACAATCATTGAAAACCTAGAAGCAGTGAACGACTGCTTTGTCCTAGTATGGGATTCCTCAGTAGCGCGTATTCATGATCCCGTCTATGGGATATCAATTTAAACTCAACAATCTCCACAGCCCTATACTAAAAACTATATTGCTTTATCATCTGCTCTTTCCTTTTCTTCTACATTGTTTTCAATTGTACGTAAATCACTTTACATGAATATATTGTCCCCTGTTGATTGTTTGTTTGTGAAATATGTTTTCTTTTTTATTTCGATACTTTATAATAGT